AGAATATATATAATGGAAGTGAATACCGAAATCTTGCTATTGCTCTCATTCTATCACATTTTCAGAACCAGCTTCTCCACTCAACCAACTTTTGCTCTCATTCTCTTCCTTTTCAGAACCAGCGCAGCTTCTTCACACCATTTGCTCCTCTTCTTCTCCAGCTATGATAACCATTGAAAGAATTTTCTTGATTACATTTGTGGTGCTTTCCTACTCACTTTGTGCAATGCTCTTTCTCTATGATGGACTTATGGTGAAACATGAGTACCAATGGATCTGCAAAACTATTGGTACTATCATGCTTGTGTTTCTAAGTTTTACGCCACCACTCCATGAGTTTCTGAGGGATCGGTTCTTGGATGGACCTAGTATTGAACAGAGATTTGCAAAACTTTGCAACCCCGTTGGTCCAATCGTGTGTATTTTTGTGGCGTTTGCATTAGATGGTCGAAAAGGAGATTCCGTTGGTCTCTATCTGTACTGGCTTCTTCTAGCTGCCCTGGTTTTTAGTTTTTTCACCCTAATGTTATTGAGACCAGTGGCTACTGATTTTGGTGCTTTTTACCCACTTTGTGGCATTTTGGTTAACTTCTCTATCAAACAACATGGCAAAGATGGCTTCAAGACTTATTTGGCTGTTGGCACTTGTATCTTTCTTATGATTTTAAGAGCTATTGTGGAGTGCATTACTGTTTGGACTACTGCTGCAAGGTTCTAATTTTTCTTCAAATATTTTCATTACTTTTGCAATATGTGGTTAGGGTTAGATTTAAAATCATTTTTTATGATTAATGTAGGAATCATGCCTAACGAGTTGCTGCTAACCAAGCTGCTGCCAACGCTGCTGCTGTCACCGCCGCTGCTTCTGCTGTGACTTCTTCTAAACATGAAGTTTAGGGGAGTTTTCTCCATAGAGTTCCTTTGTTCGTTCTTAGTTCCACTAGCTGTATGATTTTGCCTCTTTATTCAAACCAATGAAATAATAAGTGACATGCCTAGAGTAGAATAATTTTAAAGGCAAAGAATCTTCAAGAAACCCTAATCATCGTCCTAATGACCAAATTTTACTTTTTATCTGTATCATCATGTTTTTGCCCAAATACTTTGGTGCACGTAGCCGACATGTTTATCCAAAAGAATTAATTTGAAAAATTATATTACCTCATTTTGATTTCTGATCTACTGGAAATTTAGTTGATGGTATAGCTTCAAAGTAGAATTGATGTGCACCCAATTTCACGGATATTGTTGATATAGATGTTACACTTTCAAAAATATTTTAAATAACAAGTTACATGCATGTTAATAATATTTTACCAACATTAAAAATAGGGGCGTACGCATGAATTTTTATAAGCGGTGTCGAAATTTATCAAAAAACTGAAATATAACTTTGATTGTCATACTTTTAGACAATAAATAGTCTTAATCTATTGAGTTTGTTGAGTCTTAAGCAAATATTTACAAAAGAAAGATGTCTTAGTTAAGGTTTGAACCTTTGATTTGTTACAGAAAAATCAAGCACATTACCAACACACAATTTATGTCAAGTCATGTCATTTTTTTCTACTTAACAGTTTCTGTACAGTATTAATACATATATTTAATAAAATATTTCGACGAAGCGGTGTCGCGTAACACCGCTTCCAAAAGATATTGTGTTGAGGTAGCTAATTTCATATAGTTTATCTTTGAGGAGAGATTCGATGGTCAAAAAGAAAAAATAAATAGCTTAAGAGGTAAACTGTTAAATTAAGGGCTTTTTTCACTTTTAACTGGCAGAACTATTTATATTCGATAGCCGAAAAAGTATGTAAAGCTGTATAATTTTTATATATAACATATAAAATGTATATAAATTAAAAAAAATATACATTTTCGTCCATTATTTCGAAAGCGGCTATATAGTATCATTTTCCCGGATGAGATGGGTTTTTCGTCCATTCTAAGTTTAACTGCTCTTACATTTCTAACATTTGAATGTCAAAGCCCACACAGTTTTATCCAATCTATTCAATTTGCCCTAGATCCCGTTGGAAAGGACAATTCAGTACATTAAGCTCCTACTATACACAGATCCGAGGAAGGGTCTATTGTACGCAGTCTTACTCTGTATTTCTGCAAGAGATTGTTTCAACAGCTTTAACCCATGACCTCCTGTTCACATATAATAACTGATCCTGTTGGAAACTGTTCCTAAATGGTTTTCCTTTTCCCCATTGTTGCACAACTAATATTATATAGTGATAAGGGCACGAGATATAATTACGCTGGAAAAAACGTGTGAACCAAAGACTCATCACAAAAAAGAAAGAGAGAAAATAACTCAATTAACTTATACTCAAGATAATTCAAATCAACAAGGCAGCTGCTCCAACTCCTTTTTATCATGAGCAGGAAGTTCAGGAGCACAATACATCACGTATCTATAGAAACATATACCAAAGCAGAAGCTCAAAACTAAAGCTCTAACTAATAATCCTACGTTCAACATGTAAGCAAGAACNACAATACATCACGTATCTATAGAAACATATACCAAAGCAGAAGCTCAAAACTAAAGCTCTAGCTAATAATCCTACGTTCAACATGTAAGTAAGAACCTGCATTACTAATCCCAACATTACATCTATTCCCTTAATATCATATGCTACGCGCAAGAAGTGCGCATAGGTATAGAAATATCCGGTGCAGCTTACTAATAGAGTGAGATACCCATAATTGAACTCCAAAAGGTGATGCAAGGCTGCAGCAGTAACCAGAGGAATGGCCTCGATCATAAATTTAGCCTTGGCACCAATTAAACGGAAAGGCATGTCGCGATGCCAATAAACAACAGAGTACAACACATTGATATGAAGTATATAGCCACAACCCGGGCAAATCCCGAAGGTAAAAATTAACAGATGATCAGTACCCCCTAACAGCAGGAAGGCAGCGGCCAAGCACCCGAACGGAATGGTAGTAAAAGCATACCACAAATAGTCATAACCTTCTACGAGAGGCTCTGAAAGAAACATGCACGAGAAGAAACTATTCAGCATCTCAAAGAAAGTTACGAAAACACAAAATCGAGCACACCAAAACAATGAACACTTGGTCAACTTTTCACAAAAGATCACCACTTTAAAGTTTAAAAGGAAGTATCTTCTAGTCTCCAAACAATATCAGCAAAGTAAATTGTCGAATTGATCTGCCACCCAAACTTAAAAAACACCGTACAAAGCTAGTCATTTTTTTCTGAGCATGGTTAACCAAGAAGTATATATAATGAATATAAATCCTATGGCCAAGCGGGAAATGGCAGAACCATGCACCAACTTGATACACTATTATTACGTTTGCTCAAAGGAAATATCATAAATTTGTAGCAATGTCAATGACAAAGACGCGCTAGGATTGGCTTAAAAAAGTGGCTTTTTAGCATAAATAGCTTTTAAGCCCACGAACAGTAAGTTGGGGTTGTTCAGCTGATTGTTTTGTCTTGTTTTAAGCAATTTTTAACTTATTTTACACAATTTTTAACTTTGTCAAACACTGACAACAACAACAATAACCCAGTATAATCCCACTTAGTGGGGTCTGGGGAGGGTAGTGTGTACGCAGACCTTACCCCTAACATGGGGTAGAGAGGCTGTTTCCAAATAAACCTCCGGCATCCTTCCTTCCAAGAACTTCCCACCTTGCTCTTGGGGAGACTCAAACTCACAACCTCTCGGTTGGAAGTGGGGGTTGCTTACCATCAGAGCAACCCCTCTTGTCAAACACTGAAAGAAGCTAAAAAGATCTTAAAAGCTGATTTGACCAGCTTAAAAGTCAATCCAAACACCCTCTATAACATAGTGACTACATTGCAAACTCAATCATTCTTAAGTTCAAGCTCCCTTTTATGTGGTAGATTGCTAGCATCAAATAACCTCATAATTTCAAGTCAGGAAACTCAACCTTTAGGTAAAAAAATTAAAGACTTACTACCAGCGGTTGAACGACCACCATATATCCCTGGCAGCGCCCATCTAAAAGTCTTAAAAGATGAAACCAAGGCCTTCAACTTCTGATAGAAAACCACGCAAGTGCGGAGGAACATGCCACGGGTTGCAGGAGAGGCAGAGAGAGGGAGAACTTGAGAGGAATCACTCATCCAGCTGCAGATAGATATAAGTCTAATACCAGATTTTATTAACTGATTTATACATATTGCCGTCAAACAACAAAGATATGTAAGAGTCAGTAGAAAGGAATAATAGGAGAAGATATGTTGAAGAAGCTGTTAACAAGAAATTTTGCAAAAAAGAATAAATGCGGAAACAAAAGTGGTGTGTGTGTGTACACACGTAACTCGAATGATCATATAGATGATAAGAAATTCACAAGTCAGTCAGGGAGTTATGATCTGAAATTTATTCAAAGGCACTATACAACTTGATTCCCCAAGTCCAAAATCGATTTAAAAAAATATCTTTCTCTATATGTGGTTTATTGTTTTAGACAACAACCCAATAAAACATTATAGGTGGGGTCTGGGGAGAGTAGAACGTATGTAAACCTTATACCTACCCGGAGGAGTAGAGAGGTTGTTTCCGAAAGACCTCGATCAAAATCCCACAAGTAGGGTGTTGGTTTATTGTTTCAGAGACACACTGAAATCTCTATTTCTCTTTTTTTTTTAATATTACAATTTTATATAGCTAAACCAAATACAACAATAACAACACAGTATAATCCCACTAGTGGGGTCTGGAGAGGGTAGTGTACACGCAGACCTTACCCCTACCCGGGGTAGAGAGGCTGTTTCCAAATAGACCTTCGACATCTTTCACTTCAACAACTCCTCACCTTGCTCTTGGGTGACTCGAACTCACAACATCTTGATTGCAAGTGGAGGTTCCTTACCATCAGAGCAACCTCTCTTGTGCTAAACCAAATCTTTATATTAAATTTAATAGTAGCAGAAGATGTAACACACAGTCAATGATTCAACTAATCACTCCAACAGTTTCTTAATTAGATATATATGTGAAAAGTCTCAATTTTTTTTGTAAAAAAGAATGAACTTATAAGTTTACAAGTGATGAATTTAATGGTAAGAACCTAAGAGTTAATCCGTCAAATTTAAATCAGTGATCCGCCATGTGCATTCATCCTCATGAAATCATGGATCCACCTCTGCATAAACAAATTGCGAAAAAACAGAAACCAAAGTTTGGATTTTTTCGATATAAAATGTTCGTTTTAACAGAGATTGCAAAAATAAATCGAATCTAAACTACTAGTACTATATTGAATTAATTACCTGGATGAGACGGTCCAAATTCAAAAGGGTCTAGGGTTAAAAGAGGGGAAACGAAGAAGAAACGGCAAGGCTGTGGTGTTGATTTTTTGGGCCCCCTTTTTCCTCGGCAAAGGTGTTTTTACAGCGAACTAAGGAATTAGCCGCAACACCAGAAAAGTTTTGGTTTAAAATCGGCCAAATACATACCAGGCGTTTAAACTAGGCCCAATTTTTTATTTTGGCCCTTAAATTATATCTTGTTTAATTTTAGCCCTTCAACTTCATTTTTTTGTTCCATTTTAGCACAAAAATTGATTAGATTTCGTGTGTGGTTTTCACTCCCATTTTAGGCACGTGAGAAGCATTTTTTTTGCCCAATTTCATACTCCAATGTTAACAAATTTATGTTGTTATCATATTTAATCCCATATCTATATATTTGCCTTTAATATTCTTTATTTCCTTCTCCATTTCTCATTTCCTACTGCCCCGGATTTACTGTCAAAGTTTCAAAGGGTTTATTAATGGCCAAATAAATACACCGATTTTCATTTCCTACAAATTTTTACTTCGTGCCAAAATTTATCGGTTCAGTTGAACCCGTAGTTATTACTGAAAATGTAT